GGTAATAAATTAGTGGATTGTTTGAGTTCGAACCGAAAGCTCAACCCAAAGTCTTTGGTCATAAGACTAAGTTTTATCACTTCGACCAAAGTCTCAGTCTCAGATCTGGTGAGTCGTTGGTTGCTATATGGCACAGCTGCCGTTCTGATCAACAGCACTGCGTTTATCCGTCTTCTTCACCAAGCATATCCACTCCGTAACGGCACTTAGCAGCACAATGAGTTGCTGCTCACCGAATTTCGTCACCAATATTTTAATTTCACTTTTGATCAGCTCTTTTGCGATAGCATTTGAGGTGAGTGGTGATGAGGTAGTCTTAAGTCCATATAAAGAGCCAACCACTCCGGAACCGATTTCTCTCACCTTGGCTAACGATGATCCAATTGAGATCAGTAGTTTTTCGGTTTCTGACGACGATGACGACGTGCCGGCAGGAATCTACTTTCGAGTCAGTCAAAAGGTTAGTGTTTCGCCGCTTCATCGATTACTCGCCCTCCTTACAATTCCTCCGCGGTTCCTTGAAAACTTCCTCCATTCCAAGCAGATTTCTCGCTGTATATTAGGAAATATGGAACATTGATTGATATTTCAGCGTGATTCACTTCTAAAATTGCATTCGATTTTTATGTTTTCTTAAGTGTAATTTACTTTAAGTTCATTCCTTGAGTTATTTATAATACTCATACTTATTTATAGACCATCAACTTTTTCAGGGTATTGACTATATCACAAGTTTAGCGGCAGAAGCTTTGCCGCAGTTACTCGACAAGTTAGTGCTACCAACTGTCGACAATCCACAAATCAAAATTTCGAAAATGACCATTCAAAAGTTTGTGAAGCCAACGATTGAGGCCAAATTCCTCGATGGTCTAGGTCAGTTTGAAGGGGCCGTTGCATTTCAGTTCGTTTCAATCTCTAACATTCTCAAGGAAATGTGGTTCAAGATTTATCGATCGAAAATTTGTGTGTTAGTTTAGTGAGGAAATGCTTTTTTGTCGTGTATCACCATTAGCAAGGCAGTATGATTCATATTTTCGGCAAAATAATCATCTGCATACCTTAGCGATTGTTTTCAGAATATTATCCGAGTTAATATGATCCTTTAAGACTTCTTGAAGTTTTACACCGAAATGTCAAATTTAACAGTAAGAATTTCTCTGTGGAACTGTAGATCTCATCATAGAAAGCTTTCTCGCATTACTATGATAAGGCTTTGCAAAAAATGGCAATCTCACAAACTATGAAGAAATATTTACTCACCACCAAATGGATGATATCAATGAGAGGAACTTTGAGGCCAAAATCAAATCAAGAGCTGTTTTCAGCTTTGAAAGCGTATCTATTGAACAGTCCTGTGATTGTTTTACGTTGTCATTTCTTATCAAACTCATTGACTGATATGCTGTTATTCATTGATCTACGTATTGATCGACATTCTCAGCAAAGTGAACGAATAGCACTCAGTGAATAATTTCGATTTGAGGTGTTAGAGCACACGTTCACTTGCCTGAGGTGATGGTGAGTGCTATATATGATGCGTCGACGTTTTTCACTACGTATACCGGTAAATTTAAAGCGGATGTTGAGAATCTCACGGTCACCATGGAGGTTTACGTGAGTCGTAATGAAACTGCCAAGATTAATATCATTGAGGTGGGCCGCAGATTCGATTTACTGTGAGATTTGCACATCTTGATAATCAGTTACTGATCCGATGAAAGGAGATGGCATTTTCAAGTTGTTTCATTTGCATCACTTTGAAACAAACGCATACATTGAAAGGATTGATTGAGAGGATGAAGTGTAATACTTAAAAGATAGTCTAGCACAGAGGTTCTCATAGGGGGTGAAATTATCCATTTTGGGTAATTTGAAGGTGTTAAGGGGTAATTGAGGGGGTCGAGAAATTAGTTTTTCGTGCAGTTGTTATGTTATGACAGAACGCCATTGTGATGGTGTTTTTTAACTCGGGTATGTAAATGCAGTTAGT